AAGAAATTGTTGAAGTTTCTTTATTAAAGTCTGCATAACCTATGAATGCTAACCAAATACAAAGTCATGTGGTTTTGTTTTGTTTATTTTTTAATTCAGGCTGATATCTAGAGTATTTTTTTCATGGAGAAACATGTTTCTTACTGGGGGAAAAGGAAAAATATCTTCTGTGGTAAACTTGTGAAGCCTATCTGTGCACATGCACCAATTCTATACAATCTTTATAGCTGCAAGTAAGATTTATGTAAAGTTTGTGGTTAAGTTCATTAAAATGGGATTTTCTAATGCACTTAGTGTAGGCCTAACTCTGCTTTCATTTAAGTCAATGGGAGTTTCGCCACTGAAATAATGCTCTAATTGAAACCAATGCTGAACAGCTTCTGAAAATCCTACCCTTAAGCAAATATATACATAGAGCTTAACTCTGAGTGCCTTCAGCTCCCATTTAACTTAGTGGGCGCTGAGGGCACTCAGCACCTCACAAGATCAGCCCAATGGACAACTATGACTGCTTCAACTGCCTTCAAGTACTTATTTTTCACATCCTCTTCTTCCCTTTTCTTAATATATTTTATGCAAACATAGCTACTGAAGAGGAGCTTCTTGAGCCAGTTATTTTGCATCCTGAATGCTTTTCTACGATACTCACCTCCTTCAGGATAATGAGATGGTGCTGAATAAAAGTCAAGCTTATCCTTAAGGTCTTCTTCATTCTCTTTTTCCCACTGCAAGCCTATCCTCTCCCAATAGCTCACAGCCAGTTGCCTAAAGTGTAAAACCAAAGTGTTTGAACCACCATCTTTACATACATACAGAACAAAAGCATTTTTAAATGAGACAGATGGAAAACGAGAAGCCCCTCTACACTCAACTGGAAGACTTCTTTGAATACACTGGGATAAACACTAACTTCAGATACATTTATGCAACTGTAATGGCTAGAAGCTTTTTTTTTTTAAATGAAGCTTAAGTTCTACAGAAATAAACAATGTGGATCTCAACTAGCTGGGGAAAAAACCCTTTTGTTTTGAGAAGAATACAACCTCCTCTACCCTTTTTATAATCACACTTATTTGAATGCAGCACTAACAAACAAACAAAAATTACTGAAGAGTTGTGTATAGAAATAAGCAAATCAGCTAAATAGAAGAGCAGGACATTTTCCTGAACTCCGACCTGAGCGTAGAAGCACTTTAATACAAGTTATCTATAAAAACTGGATCCTTTGTTCTGCTTACTTGTTCTCAGACATTTCATCAGTAAAGCTGCTGAGTAATAAAGGAATCAACTTGTGAAAGTAAGAATATCTATCCCGCAGGTGCAATAGCCATTCTCCAACAACACTAGTAACAGCTCGCCGAACCTAGGAAGGTGAAAGAAACAACACACTGCAAATTTTACTACGAAGTCCCATAACTTGAAGGGAAAAACTCTGAAAACAAAAACCTTAGAGTAAACTTTAGCAAAGTGTCTAGAAGATCCATTTATGAAATGTATTTACAAAAACAACAAAACACACAAATAATGAACTTTCATACAAGACAAGTAAGCTTTGCGGGAAAAAAAAATCAGGCAAACTGCGGCAGTAGACTGCCTACATTTCCTGCCTACATGTCCTGATCATCATTATCTTAGCTCATCATTACCTGAAGTACAGCCCCAACATAGGATATATCTTCACTAGCAATGTTAAAGTGCTGCCGTGGCCACTTTACAGGGCTGAAACTTGCAGCACTCAGGTGTGTTTTTTCACACCCCTGAGCGAGAAAGTGGCAGTGCAGACTAGGCCATAGAGTATTTCCATTTAAATGGTAGATAAAGTCCGACTCATTCTAAATCACAGTAGTACTTAGAGGGAGTACATTATGAAATTAGGTAAAAACATGGCACCCTCTGCTAATAAAAAAATATTTTATAAAATAATATCCTTCATTTATACAGCACATTTTAAGCAAGGCTCTCAAAGCCTAACAAATGTGATGTAGATATGGTAAAATCTAGATTTTATGAAACTCCATTTAACCTAAAATGCTTGTGATCCCCCATCCTGAGATAACATTCTTCACAGGCACTCAGTCCTGCTAGATGGCCAATCCAGCAAGTACCGTATATACTCATTCATAAGCCGAATATTTTTGGTAAACATGTGACACATCAAAGAGTGGAGGTTGTCTTATAAACGGGTCTACACCAAAATTTGATGATTTTAAACTCTATGGAATCATTGAATTGAATATCTAATACACTGTCATTTTGTTTACTTGGAACATTTGCAGGCATGGAGCCCCTCAGCTCCCTGTGTCCGCAGTTCGCCATTCCACAGGGAGCTGAGGGGCTCCATGCTTGCAGACGCTCCAGGTAAACAAAACGTCCTGACCCACCAGCGGCTTACCCTGACAGGCTTGGAGCCAAAGTTTTCCAATCCCTGAAATATAGGGTCGGCTTATGAAAGGGTCATACAGTTTTTGCTATTTTTACCTATCCATTTTGGGTGGTCGGCTTATAAATGAATGGGCTAATGAACGAGTATATACGGTACTTAAGGGTGTGCTTAACTTTATGTATATGAATAATCCCACTAAAAGTCAATGGAACCAATCATATGCTTAAACATTTACATATGTGTTTTGCTGGAACAGACCGGAGTGCTCAGTCCCTTGCTGGATCAAGCCCTAAGAGTGCAGGGAGAACATAAATGCTATCACTCAACTCTGCCAACAAACACTTTAGATTTTCTGGTTTACATGGTCTTCAAATATCCTATCTGCTAAATACTACTGTGCTGAAGGATTATTGCAAATCCTTTTGATATTACAAAGATTTCTGTCCGCCCCCTGAAAGACCTTCATAAAACAAAACAAAAAGAGTTCTCTTCAATTATACACATATTACTGAGGGACAAAAGAGCTAAAGGACTAGATTTTTAGAAATATTTAAGCACCTAACTCCCATAAAAATCTGGTCCTAAGTGACTTCTTCAAAGTTATGTAGCTAGGAGTAGCACAGACTGGAACACAATCCAGAACTTCTGATACTAGACTGCACATCCTTCCCCCAAAAGTTGAGTATTACAGTTTTATTCACAAGAACATGCCATCCTCCCTCGTTTTTGAGGATCCCTCCTTGGTGGGCTAATTTTTACTTGGTCAACTTTATACATTAATGTACAAATACTTATATTCAGCTGAAGCCGAAAATCTTAATGAAGCTAGGAACACAATTTTGCTGGTGTTAAGAAGTGAACAGATATTTTATTACATTATTTTTACCCCTAGAAATATGTTAATGAAGGCAGGGGCAAAATCTAGACAAAAGAAAGTAGAGTTACCTGAGGAATCTCATCAAAAAGTCGCTGGGCCAGATGAGAGAGAACATCATCTACAGACCTTCCGTTGCCAAACTGTATCACCGTTCCTGTGGCCTGAATCACAGCAACACGGACTCGGAAGTGCTGGTGTGAAACTGTTTGCATTAAGGGTTTTATCAAAAATTCTGACTGCATATGAAAGTGTTCTGTTAGAGGAGAAAGAGAGAAAGCTCAGCTCTGTCTTCATATGTATGCATACAGCAGACCTTATGCAAACATGCATTTATGTAGCACCTTCTGGACATGGGTCTGATTTATATCACTATGTTTATGTATATATATGGTCTCATTTGGCACAGTGTGTTAGACTGGGATAACAACACATTTACGTCTCTGCCACTGTCGTCCCAGTCCCATGACCATCCCAGCACCCTCCTCCTGCTGCAGCTTGCTCCCTGTAATTCTGATCCCATTCTTTCTACCCTGCCCTATACTCCCCCATCCCCAGTTAGGATGGCCAGAGCAGCACTGTCCACATACCTGCAACTCCTTCAGCCAGGTGCCCGGCACCCTGAGTTCCACCCCCAATTCACCCTCTTCATCCTCAGGGCCACTAACAACACTCCTGCAGATCCCTCATCCTCCCTGGCTTCCTCCCCCATCTCTCTCCTCCCCAGGCACTAACCCCGAGCACAGGACCCTGTGCACCTGCAGCTCGCAGCCCACTCCAGGCCCCCTGGCTCCCTTCCCCGGGTCCCACCTGGCATAGCCCTGGCGCTGGCGGCCGCACACCTGCAGCTTTCACGCTTGACCTCGGGGTAGGGGTCGAGGAGGGTGGCCTGCAGGATGCGGATGATCTCGGGCAGGTAGGGGGCCAGGGCGGCCTCGCAGAGCTCCAGCAGGAGGCTCAGGAGCTGGATCAGGGCCAGGCGCAGCTCCTCGCAGGGCTCGTGCGATTGCCCCTGCGGCGAGCAGAGGCGCTGGGCCAGGGCCGGCAGCAAGCAGGACAGGGCCTCAGCGGGTCGGCCGCCGTGACGCAGGCCGTGGCAGGTGAGCTGGACGGCCAGCTCCCGGCAGCGCTCGGCCGGATCCCCCACCAGGCACCGCACCAGCGGCCGCAGCAGCTGCTTGGCGAAGACCTCCTGCAGCACCAGGGCCGAGAGCGGCCGCTCCTGCACCTCGGCCCGGATGGCGCGCAGAGCCCGCAGCCGCGCATCCCGGTCGGGCTCCTGCAGGCCGCGCAGGTGCCGGCCCAGCGCCTTGACCACGTCCGCGGCCAGGAGGTGGTCACCCGAAGCCCCGTCCTCAGCCATGCTGGATCGTCGCTAGGGAGGCTCGGGCCGCTCGCTGCGGCCCGTTACTAAGGACTCTGCTCGTCTAGCGGCCGCTTTCACGGCAGTAAACAAATGCTTTACGGCAATTTCAACATGCAAGAAACTTTATTGGCAGGGGGCTCTGCCGGACACTGGCACTAAGACTGGCGTGGGTCTCACCCAGCAAAGCGCTCCAGCGCCGCAGAGACAGTTTGAGGGAGTGATACGGGGTTATAGAGGGAGTATGGGTCAGTGGTTAAAGTGCACAGCAGAGAGCCAGCTCTGCTGGGTTTAATTCCCATGGGGCCTTGGGCAAGTCATTCTACAGCTTCCCTGCCTCAGTTTCCCCATGTTAGCTGGCGCTAACAGTGTTTGCAGTGCAGTTGATGCCTCTGATGCGGTGCAGCACAAAGGCTGCCCCTTAGCTAGCTGTTGCCAGCCCTCTGGGATTGGCCTGGAGACTCTTGGAATCGGCATTGATCTCCCGGTGACTATTGAAAGCAATCCAGGAGATTTTAATAGGATATTTTAAGAAAATGATATTATGTCACGGGAGGAATCTCCCGGAATAGCTTCAGTCAGAGTTGGCAACCCTACCCTTAGTTGGTGCCTAATATTCAGTCTCCTGGGTGAAGGGCTTGCTTTGTGTTAGCATACACCACTAATCAGAGTGAAATACTGATTGCGTAGCTTAAGTAAATGTAGGGTACAGTTCTTTAAAAGTAAGCATCTGAGAATTAAAAAAGCCAAAGCTCTGTCCTTTGCTTGTTCATATAATTACCCTATCTTTGGATGGAAGGTACTATCAAAGTGCAGAGTATCATTACACCAGTGTATTGATATTAATCCCCAAAATAACTGCATCACCCATATCCTGAAAGGGGATTGCTGCTTTAAATGTTAAAAAGGACCCCAAAGGAACTTTTGGAGACTTGGGAAACTTTGCAAGGTGATGTTGACGAATGTCAAAGCTTTTAAAATTGCTTACTAATTGTTGGCCCCAATACTGTGATTAGACCCGTGGGGGGTGATTCAAGTGCAGGTTCAGGGCCTTTTTTGTAGTGTTGTACAGCAGTGCTTGCACGGTGCTTTGAAGATGTAAAGTGCTAATTAAAAGGTGAAGGCTACATGCTTCAGAAATTGAGTGTGTCACAATAGGTATCTAAATCCCCATAATCTCGCAGAGATCTGGCCTTCCTCCAATCACTCGCTGCATTCAAAAGCAGCATTGCATGCTCTTTGGCCATGTCACCAGGATGGACAAAAATACCCCAGCCTGCTGCTCTCAGACTCTACATCAGGGGTCGGCAGCGTTTGGCACGCGGCCGCCAGGGTAAGCACCCTAGCGGGCCGGGCCAGTTTATTTACCTGCTGATGCGGCAGGTTTGGCCGATCGCGGCCCCCACTGGCCGCGGTTCGCCGTCCCGGGCCAATGGGGGCGGCGGGAAGCGGCGCGGGCCGAGGGATGTGCTGGCCGCCGCTTCCCGCCACCCCCATTGGCCTGGGACGGCAAACCGCGGCCAGTGGGGGCCGCGATCGGCCAAACCTGCTGCGTCAGTGGGTAAATAAACTGGCCCGGCCCGCTGGGGTGCTTACTCTGGCGAGCTGCATGCCAAACGTTGCTGACCCCTGCTCTACATCGATGTGCGAAGGGATATATGCCTTGACCCTACCTGGCATCACCCGTGAGGCTGTCCCAGAGATTTGTGGATTTGCAGGATTGAGCTAGATCTGGGAACTTCATTCTATGATGCCTGGTACAATGTCATCATCTTGGTCACTGTGGCTGGTGCATCGGTCCTCAGACTATGCACATTTGAAAATTAGGGCATATACATAATCGAAGATGCCGAGTTACCCACCTTTGGGCATTTTGGCCTAAGTGTGATGTAATTAAAAAAATATGACAGTGATCATATTGTCTTCCTCCAATGATCAAGTGGTGCTAGGCAGCTCTGACTATTGAAGCATGAAACATTGGGGAAATGTTTATACTGGCTCAATCAGGGGCTGCCCAAACTTTGCCCAGTCAAGGGGCTGCATTGGCAACTTGCTGGAATTAGTGGGAGGCATCTCATTTGTATGATATCAAACAGATTGAGATATATTCACACTGCCCCATCCTCCATGCAAACTCCCAACAAATCTCCGTGGTCCCTATGCATATCTCTCATTTGACCAATTAACATCCACTTTGTGGTGGCATTACAGTAAAACTACAATTGGGCCACAGTTCTGCAGTTTGTTGCTCACCAGCAGACCTCTGCACCTGTGTTGAGCCCCATTCACTACCACAGGACTCTGCACAGATGTAGGGATCCACCCACGCACAATGGCTTGCGGGCCAGGAGCAAAGACTGTAATGTAAAGGGATAATGGTTTCAATGTATGACTTGATTTTAAAGCCAGGGCAAAGCTGTGGCTTACTGAGGCAATCATCAGTATACAAAGACAAGAAGCACAAAGTGCAGTTAGGAGTTAGTATAGTCAGCTGGCACAGTAAGACTTATTTCATTGCGTATTCTTGGGATGCTGACAATTTGGCTTAGTTTGAAAATCCAGCAAACAGGCAGCATGAAGTGGATTCAGACCCCCATGAAAGCTGAATTTCCAGACAAAATGCCTTACACAAACCATTAGAAAGCATCACAAAAAAGCCACTGTAAAATGCATTGACACAACTACAGCACAGGTTATTGGGACTGCAATGCTTTGAGGTGAGTATAAGGTACTGCCCAGGAAAGTCACAACAGAGATGGCTCTGGGGAATAGAACAGTTTCTTTCTGAGGCCCCCCCAACATGCTATAGAAACTCTATGGCCCCACTGTGCCACAATAACTGTTTTTCTGCATATAAAAGCCAGGGCCAGCATTAGGGGGTAGCAAACAGGGCAGTTGCCCAGGGCCCCACGTCAGAGGGGGCATCATGAAGCTAAGTTGCTCAGGCTTTGGCTTTAGCCCCGGGTGGTGGGGCTTGGGGCTCCAGACTGCAGTCCTGCACAGCAGGACTTTGGTTTTCTGTCCTCGGCCTTAGCAAGTCTCACACCAGCCATGCTTGACGGACCCCCTGAAACCTGCCTGCGCCCTCCCCCAGGGGGCCCCGGATTCCTGGTTGAGAACGACTGGAATAGGAGATAGTCTATCATCATGCTACAATACTTTTGCATATCTGGTGGGAGGCTCCAGGCAATCCACCACCAAAGCATTGAACAGGATGGGATGCTACCGGGAGTAAAACAATACTTCAAGGGTGGCCAGATTGCCAGGCGGAAGAGCCACAGGAGGTTACCCTCTATCACTGGGAAAGGATGAGGTATGTGTGCAAGATGGGATTTTGCTTAAAGGGGACAAAGCAATAAACCCAGCAGATTTAAGACCTAACATCATGAGACAGATACATAATACACTCTTGGATATTAAGCATGCCTGAGATGAACCCAGCAGTGGATCTACTGGCCAGGCATGAATGGCTATGGAACAGTGCGAGCTGTGCAGAGTGTAGTGATCAACAACAGAAGGAGAGTACATACAGCCTAACCTGATCCCGAGAAAAGGCCAGAACAGTCCTGTCTGTGTAGAGGATAAAATTTTCAAAAGTGCCCAAGTCACTTAGTGACTTTCAATGGGACTTTGGCTCCTTAGATACTTATGAAAATGTTACCTTTAGTCTTTTAATTGTGTCTATCCCATACTCTAGGCACATTACACACATTCAAAAAATAAACATGTAAATAAAAATTTACAAAATGCATCAAATGAAACAGAGACCATAGGATCTGCCTTATTAGGTAAGAACAGTTGTCTATCTAGTGTATTATCTGTTTCTAACAGTAGCCATTACCAGATGTTTCTAAAAGAGTTGCATGATATCCCATAGTGAACAGTTATGGAACAACTGGCCCATAAGGGAAAACAACGAAAACACTTCATCAGATGCATGGAGTGGAAAATACAGGTATAAATACATGAAAAGATGTGAGTCCAGTTTGCAAATTAATTCCAGTTCTGCAGACACCATCAGATTAGGCCTGAATAAAGACTGGGAGTGGTTGGGTCATTACAAAAACCTAAACCTAATTTTCCACAATACTAATTTCCCCCTACTGTTACTCACACCTTCTTGTCAACTCTCTGAAATGGGCCACTCTCATTACCACTTCAAAAGTTATTTTTCCTCCCTTGGTAGCCTGCTGTCAATTGAATTGTCTCATTAGACTGACCTCACACTTGCTAAGGCAACTCACATCTTTTCATGTATTTATACCTGCTCCTGTATTAGTGTCTCTTTCATTCTTTATGCAGCATAGTGCTTGTCTGACCACTTCTGTGCACTGGGAAGATGTGTGACTGGTATGAACCAGATACCAAAGTATCTGAGTGGTTGCAATTAATTTAGAACCTAGCAATTTTTATGAGTAATTCAAATTACTCTTTTCAAATGACCTTGCATTTACTGATACTGAATTTCATCTGCCATTATGCTGCTCATTTGCCTAGCTTGCTTAGGACTCTGGAGTTTTTTTTAGAGTCTTGCCTACTATTGACTAGCCTAAATAATGTTGTGTTATCTGCCAGTTTTGCCACTTAATTGTTGTTGCCTTTTTCTAAACCATTAATGGGTTTATTAAACACCAGCTGTCCTAGTTTATATCCTTGAGATATCCTCTTATTAACCTTTTACCCTGTGATTATTGAGGGTATGTCTATACTGGGAAAATGGAGGTGTGTTAGAAAAAGTGTTCTCACATGTTTTAATTAGCATGTTGTTAACACCACTTACTGCCATCCATTGTGGACAAAACACATTAGCTGACTGTGGCTAAGCCTCCATCACAGCTTCCTTTCACCCCCAATTAATTGCCCTTCCCCACACCTCCCAAAAAGCCTGGGAGAATAGACTGCATGTCCTGCAGGTTACCAAATCTGGTCTTTGGAGACAGAGCTTTCTCAGGGTCTGGTTTGAGAGACTGGAATTAACTCCCCCAGGGAATTGAGGACCATCACAAACATTCCCACCTTCTGTTCCAAGTGCAAGACACACTTTTCTGACACTGCAACTACATAGCAGCACATATATTTAAAAGACCAAAACAAAGCCCTACCAAAACAAAATCCTATTGTGACCGATGAACCCTTCACTGTCAGCTGGCAAGATTTCTGGTATGTGCATTCTGGTTCAACAAAATATGGCATGTGAGGTCTTAAAGAAAAGCCATGTATGTATCGATACTATGCAAGGAGTTATGTATGTCTACTGAAAATTTGCTTTAAAGTGTGTATCAAGGCAGAGTTGACAAACTGGCTTTCTGTCATGCAAAAGAAGTTTATTCACCTGTCTGTTGGCATGTAAATTAAACATTGTAAGTTAACAGCATAGAGAGTCATTTACAGGGGTGAAAGTAACTTAAAGGACTTACCAGTACGCTGGAGTCCTGAGCAGGGGTGTGGCCTCAACTGGAAGAGGCAGGGCCTCAACCAGAAGAGGTGGGGCCTTTCAAGATTTAAAGGCCCTGGGGCTCCGGCTGTGGCTGTGAACCCCAGGGCCTTTAAATTACACCGGAGCTCCGGCGGCGCTTTAAAGGGCCCAGGGCTCCCCACAGCAGCGGCGCTTTAAAGGGCCCGGGGCTCCCCACAGCGGCTGGAGCCCTGGGCCCTTTAAATCACCGCCATGGAAGCCGGTCCTGTCCGGTACGGCATACTGGCTCTTGCCGGTACGCCGTACTGGACAATACCGCCTTCTTTCACCTCTGGTCATTTACATATAAAGTCAATGGGAGGAGGTGAAATCAACTGAGAGGCAGCACAATGGAAACTAAGCCACAGAGGTTATCTTGATTCTGGTACAGACAGTGAACTTTTTGGGATATAAGGAGAAGGCAAGTAAAACACCAGATCATTCTCCTCCTAGGAAGCAATCAGGCCGTGTGATTACGTTCATGAAAACGGGATCACAAAGGGCCTTGGTTAAAAAGCTGCAAAGGACATTTGCGGTGAGATAAATTCCTTTAGACAGAAGGTTAGCTTGTTAAGTTTAGTCTCTAGAAATCATGTTATGATTTTGTTCTATATGTAACCTTTGGTTTTCATTATTCTTACTATTTCTTAACTTTGATAATAAACATATTGTTGTTTTCACTATAAATATATCCAAGTGTTGGGATATTAAGCAGGGGCTGATCCCGAGTTGAATCATACAAGCTGGTGTGTACACTTTCCTCTTGGGGACAGCAGACCTGCTGTTTCTGGGAGTGTTTGGTGGATAAGGAGCTGGACGCTATAGGGAAATGCTTCAAAGGGGCTCTGGGATGGGATGCACCTATTGTTAACCTGCAAGGCAAAGTAAGGGCTGGCATAGTCCAGAGGAGAGTGCTTGGGTGGCTCACAGGCTGGTAGCATCAGGGAGCTGACACCCAGTTAAGCTCAAGCAAGTATCTCTCATGCTTGGGGCAGGGGGTAACAAGGTGATGTCCAGGCCTGGGTACCCCAAGAACCTATACTGTGCACACGGTTCCACTCCTGGAAAGAAAATGTATCTCATGACACAGATTAGTCACGTTCCTTATGGCACTACTGGAAGGCACTCAGGTACTATGCTGATGTGGGTTGTATAAGAAGTTATGTAGAGCAGAATGGTAGCACATTGGAATTCTGAGCCAGAGCACCTCACAGGATGACAACTGCTGCAATATCACAGGGTAGAGAGGCAGTTTCTGAAAGTGACAAGCCCCAAACCAGGTAGAGCTTTATAGGTCAAACTCAGCCCCTTCAGCTTGATCCGGACATTAGCTGGTGATTGTGGAGCACAGGTGTCATGTGCACATCGAGGGTGACAAGTATCAGAGGGGTAGCCGTGTTAGTCTGAATCTGTAAAAAGCAACAGAGGGTCCTGTGGCACCTTTGAGACTAACAGAAGTACTGGGAGCATAAGCTTTCGTGGGTAAGAACCTCACTTCTTCAGATGCAAGAGAATAAGCAGCCCCCTCCCCTGCCTCCACCACTAGCACCAGGCTTTGTGCTGCAATAAACCCATTGTTGCTGGGGAGCAGCTCCACAGCCGGGGGGAACTGGGGGGATGGAGAAGAAGAAGTGAGGTTCTTGCATCTGAAGAAGTGAGGTTCTTACCCACGAAAGCTTATGCTCCCAGTACTTCTGTTAGTCTCAAAGGTGCCACAGGACCCTCTGTTGCTTTTATCGAGGGTGACGTTGCTGATAAGCCACCGCTTTCTGCACGAGAAGTTTCAAGGCGTAACTCCAAGTCAAGGGCACTACTGTAATCTAATCCGGGGTGACAAAGGCACAGGCAACCAAAAGGATGCAGCCCCGGTGCCAAGAGCAGCTCATAAGCACCCCTGGCAACTGCTGCTATTGGGGCAGCTGGGGATGCAGCAAGACTCCCAGGTTATGAGCCATAGAAACAGAGGATGGGTATACCTGTCACAGAGAGGCCATTTCCTCTGGCCCTTTTCTCCATCTCCTAAGCACCACCCCAAAAATCAAGATCCAGATGTCCAGGGCACTTTGACAATTAGGGACCGCAGGCTGGGGGGAGGGGGCGCCCCTCCCCGGACGTATCTGTCTGCCTCTCCCACACACGCTGCGGCCCCTGGCGCAGGCTGCGTGCCCCTCCTTTGGTGCCTCGCCCCCCTCGCCTGCCCCCGAGCCCCCCAGAATCAGAGCCTGCTTTGCCTGCAGGAGGTGGGGAGGGAGGCTGTGCTTAGGCGTGACTGACAGCAGACGGGACTTCCTGCAGGGGAGCTACTGCAGCGCCCTAACGCTTTGTAGGCGAGCTCTCTGGGTTGGGGGGCAGGGCGGTGAAGGGGAACCCTCAGCTGGAGACCTTCCAGTGCTGTCAAGGAAGAGGAAGGGTAGCAGCAGCGGCCAGGGAAGGAGGCGGCGACTGCACCGCAGAATAACAGGAGCCCCCACCCCCCTGCGTAAGGGAAGAGAGAGAAGAGCCGCTGCTGTCACTGCTCCAGCCACTCAGGTATTTATATAGGGCCCTCTGACTCCACATCCTTCCCCCACGGCTCCTCTGGTCCCCTAGCCTGGTTTGGCACCGTTCCTCGTCCTCCTTCCTCTGTGGTTTTGACAGCCCCTTTCCCTCTCCATCCCCCCAGTTCTCCCCGGCTATGGAGCTGCTCCCCAGCAACAATGGGTTTATTGCAGCACAAAGCCTGGTGCTAGTGGTGGAGGCAGGGGAGGGGGCTGCTTATTCTCCCTCCCCCCCATGGTGCCATTCACAAAGGCTGGGAGATGCTCTGAGGGAGGGGATGTCGTCTCTGGCATTGGGACAATTGAAAGGAGAGGAGATGCCCCCTTTCCTATCCCCACCCCCATCCGAAAACAAATCCCACTCCGGCATGAGATTCTCCCACTTCATTGTAAAACGCACAGCTAAATTCTCTCCCATTGGAGGGAGATGCTTTAAAATGAATTCTTGGGAGGAAGGGGTTTCCCTCCAAATCAGCTTTAAGACATAATCCCCAACCTTAGCCCAAATTTCAGTTAGTTAGAGGGAGAATTGTCTCGTTTCAGATTCATTTTGAGCCAGGTTTATAAGAGCATCTGGCTCTTGTGATGAAGGATTTTGCTGTGTCGTTTTTGTTCCAAGGGAGCATTTAAGCATCTCATCTATTGTTTTTCTTTTTTAAAAAAAATCCCTCTTGTTTGAAATTGTCCCCTCATGAAACATTCCTGCGGGTTGAAAGTAAACCTCAAAAGATGCTCTGATGCTGGGAATTGAGAAGAGGTGATGAAACTTAAATTATCTTCTGATATAAGTTAATATAAATCTAATAGACCACAAACATATGTCCTTTTCTTTTGTAGTGGGTGAACACACATTAATTGGAGGAATCAAACATGTTTTTCCTTCGTCACCAAACTCCTCTTTGGTGCAAGAGAGCTGCCCCATATATATTTTTTAAAAAGAGTGTTAAAGTATTTTACTAGAGACCGATGCCCCTCCATCTTCTACAGAAATCTAGGACCCTGAAGAGAGGGACCTAGACTCCATTTGTATACCGACGGGGACAGTACTCTAAATTGTCATCTGGCAGATATCTTTAAAACTCATATTGTACATGATTTATTGCACCATTGTTTTCAAATGTTAAAGAATGTCTAATAATTTGAATGCTCTCTTTGTAATTCCTGGTATGTTGATTGTGTAGAGATGACATGATTCAGTATTTGCATGTGAAGTGCCACAACATTGAAATGTGCTGAATCGTTAGCTTGTGAAGAGAAGATGTACAATATTAAAATACTTTAGTTCTCTCAAATTGCTTTGACAAAAGACTTCAGGAATTCTCTTTGATATCTTAATTGCACCATTTTCTTACCTACGTTTGTTTTCTGTTTACAAGCCTGAAGATGGCTGCTTCTTCCTCCTGCAATGTGGAAGAAGATGAGAGTCTGAAGGGATGTGAACTCTATGTTCAGAAGCATAACATCCAACAGATTTTGAAAGAGTGCATTGTAAACCTTTGCATCGCAAAACCAGACCGGCCAATGAAGTTCCTCAGAGAACATTTTGAAAAATTAGAAAAGGTCAGTGACTTTCATGTGGCTTCTATTTTCAGTTTCCAAGTGTATGAATGTTCTTAAAGTTTCGTATATTTGGGTGCATTTTTTCTTAGCATTCTGCTTTAGTAGTTACCCTTTAAAAAAAGCTCTTAAGAAACAAACTTTTGTTTGCATACGTCCAGTGCAGTATCTGATATCAGGCACAACTTCTTTTTGTGGGATAAGGGTTATAATTTCTCAGCAGATTGCAAGGACAATTGCGCTGACTGGTAAAATTGATCCAGAGATTTATAAAAATTTATAGCATTATAACATACAGGGCCCTTTTCTCCCCTTCTATCAGAAGGACCTGCATAGCAGAGCAACGTGTGGATTCTTCCTATTCATTCCGATGTCAGGAGGTGTAGTTTGCCCTTACCCCCATCATGGAGTCTCCAAGTTCTGGGTACATCTTGGGAAATGTGCAGGGGCCAATCTGCTACTTGACCACACTGACTCGTGTCCATACTGGAGAGCACAAGTCCCGCAGGAGTGGTGCTTATAGGGACTGTCTATACTTTGACTGCTCTGAAAAGGCATGTTGCACAGTGTAGAGGCATGTCATCCTGCTAGGCTGATCTGGTGTGCCCCCTCACAGATGAACCCTTACTTGATTTTTCCCACGCGCGTGGGAATCAAGAAGTCCAAACAGACTGTTGGATGCTAAGAAGCACCTCCTTGTGGAGGGTCTCATTTATTAACAGAAAAGCCAGTACAGAGCATAAACAAAACTTTCACCCCAACATCTCAGCTGCATGACTGGGTCATTCTTAGTCAATCTGTCTCTCACCTGATTCTAGTGCTCACCTTTACCCAGACTCTTCAAGGGTTCTCTCAGTTCCAGTCTTTGCCTCTGGAGTTAGGACTCTTGTCCCTACCAGAGTAAAAGCCTTCTCTGGAGTGAGGGGAGGTTAGTCCACTGTGACTCTTCCCCAGGGACAGCAGGTGATCCCTGCCAGGCGAACCCTCTGACCACTGTCTAGTAGACCCTGGCTGAGACCAGGCCCTCTAGGATACCTGCTGACTGCATCCCTCTTCCTACAAGGCTCCCCTCTCTAAGAGCACCTCTTACAGGTTCCCCATTCTGGTGGGTTCCACAGACAGCTCACCC